AAGAACACATTTGGGAAGGGACAAGGGGTGGTGTGGTTCTAAGACAGAAAAGACAGTCGCAGGGAGGAAGGCTGATGGTGCCACACCCGGAACCCCAACTCTTCAGGTGCTGGAGGCAGGAGGAGCACATATTCAAGATCATTTTTGGCTACAAAGTAAGTTCAAGACCAGCCTGAGCTACAAACGACCTTAGATCACTTCCTAATGCTGCAACCTTTTAATACAGTCCCTCATATTGTGGTGACCCCCAACCATAAAATATTTCATTGCTACTTCATAACTGTAATTTTGCTACTGTTATGAATTGTAACGTAAGTATATGCATTTTTCCATGGTCTTGGGTAACCCCTGTGAAAGAGTCATTCCACCCAGAAGGGGTTGCTACCCACCGGTTGAGAACAATTTAGATGGTAACTTAGACATACCTTTAATGAAGAGGTACTAAAGCTAATCCATCATTGATTTTGGTACTTACTAACTTCTCAACTTTTAATGGGGACTAATTTCTTTTCAATTTTTTTGTCTGGATCATTTGACAATGCCAAGGTTGTTCATCAATCCCCATTGCTGTTCCTAATAGAAACTGATTTCCATCAGGCTGTGGTGCACACCTTCAATCCCAGCACTCAGGAGGCAGATGCAGGTGGATCTCTGTGAGTTTTGAGACCTGCTTGGCCTACAGAGTGAGTTCCAGAATAGCCAGGGCTATACAGAAACACAGAGAAACCTTGTCTCAAAAAAAAAAAAAAAAAAGAAAAAGAAACTGGTTTCCTTTCTACTACATTGGACTTTACACACCCAGAATCCCCACTCTCAAGAGGCTGAATTAGGAGGACAGGGGCCTCAAGGACAGCCTGTGAAGGAGGGGTGAATGAGAATAATCTATGGGTTAAAACCTGACCACTGAAAACCACTGTTTACAAGCTGACATACACCCTGCCGGGCGTTGGGGTGGTGCTGGTGCTTTGAGACAGTCTTCTTAAATAGCCCAGGCTGGCTTCAAAGTTGTGGGCATTCTCCTGTTTCAGCCTCACAAGCACTGGGTTCACACAGAAACACCACCGTGCCTTGTTCGGCTTTTTCTTACATAGAATCCCTCCAGCTCTCTCCCCATCCCCTCGCCCACACCCAGTCTGCACACACACACACACACACACACAGAGAGAGAGAGAGAGAGAGAGAGAGAGAGAGAGAGAGAGAGAGAGAGAGAGAGAGAGAGAGAGAGAGAGAGAGAGAGAATCACAGTGTGCACACACAGGTTCCTGCAGCCATCTTTGAGTGGCAGTAAGCTCCTGAGTTACTGCATAGCAACCATCCCTACAGCCATCCACTGCTGACTCCATGTCCATCAGACACCGCCTCCCTATTCACTCCCAGTCCCCAAGGCCAAATTCTACTTTGTGTCTCCGTGAGTCAGACGGCTCTAAGCACCTCATGTAAGTGACCTCATACAGTTTGTGTCCCCTTGCAATTGTCCTATTTCACTTGGCAGAAGGAGAATTCACTTAGCAGAGTCAAAACGCCCTTCCTTTTAAGTGCTCAATAATGTTCCATCATAGGCGTATACCTCATTTATTTATCCACTCATCCATCGATGGGCACTTAGTGAAAGTAGGGTTTTTTAAGTTGCTTTTTTTTCTATCTTGCAGACATCACTTCATATTAAAGTAAGAGTACATTTTAAAATTTTTATTAGCATATGGTAATTATATGTAATGGGTTTCATTATGACATTTCATACATTCATATAATTTTGGTACTATTCATGCCCACTACCCTTTCCTGTTCCCTTCCCATGGATCCCTTCTTTTCACAGATATTTCCTCTTCTGCTTTCATAGTTCTTTCTTTCTTTCTTTCTTTCTTTCTTTCTTTCTTTCTTTCTTTCTTTCTTTCTTCCTCTCTTTCTTTCTTTCCTCCCTTTTTTTGACCAATAAGCTTCATTAGGGTTGTCTTTGGGAGCACGGGTTAAAAGTCATTTATAAGAGCATGGGCATCTTACTATGGCTGTGCCACCAAATAAAATGGATACATTATTATTTAGGATTTTGTATTGGTGTTGTTTGAAACCAAGTCTCACTATGTAGCCTGGCCTGGGACTCACAATCTTCCTTTGGGGATTGCAAACCTCAGCCGCCATGCTCCACTGGTGTCTCTCAGAGCCCTGTGGAATGTATGGTCTACATCATTTAGCCAGATCACTCATAATGAACGCGGTTGTCCACACATTCTCATTTCAGTTAATGAACTTTTCATCAAGGCAGTTTCCACAAATTTATGCCGAGGAGTGAACCACGCATGAGGTGGCGCAGGGGTTAATAACAGAAAAGCCATGCTTGTGCATTTCAGACCACGGAAGCCTCCTGCTGGTCCTGTCTTCTCCCACATGGACCATTGAACTTGTGTTAACACACTTCCTCTATAACTTTATCATATGAGAATATGCTCTGCTCCCTTTTAAACTCTATTCCTAATGAATCTGCAGGAGACAGAGGACACTGTAGGATCCCAGTCCACCTTGTTCCTCCCTAGCTCCTACCACAGAGGCTGTGCTCACAGACTGGAGTCTCTAAAATCTTGAGCCAAAATAAACTTTTCCTATTTGTAAATGTACTGCTTCGAGTATTTCATTACATATACATACCTCTCTCTCCCCTTCTGGTGGTCATCAGCAAGCCTTGGTTGGCAGTGTTTAGTTTGTAGATGCCTCACCCAGTTCTCTGTGATCACATGGCTTTTCCCGGTGCCTCAGTCCCTACATTCAAATCTCATTTTTTTTCCTTGCAAGACACCAGTCTTTGGGCGTAAGGCCTGTGATCCCAAACAGCATGAGTATATCTTAATTTGATGGCAATTTCAGTGACTCTGTCCTCCAAATGATCAAGATATGAACATGTACTTTTATTCTTTTTTCTTTTCTTTCTTTCTTTTTTAAATTTTTTTTTGAGACAGACTTTCTCTGTTTAACAGACTGTCCTGGAACTCACTTTGTAGACCAGGCTGGCCTCGAACTCACAGAGATCCACCTGCCTCTCTGCCTCCTGAGTGTTGGGATTAAAGACATGTGCCACCACTACCAGGCTGAACATACACTTTTAAGGGACACAATTCAACCAACCACTATGGGTATCCTTGTCCCCGAGTCACCCTCCTGCCCTATCTCCTTCTGGAGGCAGGCAGGAAGATTGCTCCCTGCTCACAAACAAATGGGGGATACTGGAGGCGTTTCCCTACCCAAAGAGAGAGCAAAGATGCATTGATCAGCACAGAAGTCTTTGCAGCGATATGGTGATGGGACCAAGAGAGTCGTGGGCCAGCAGAGTGACTGAGCCAGCCTGTGCTGAGACAGTTTGCTTTGGTGTCCTCAGCTGAGCCCTGAGCACAGTGATATAATGGTCCAACTATATTAGTCATTGCTCCTCCAGATGTCATACCACTTGGGAAACATGGCTGCATTCTGTGAGGTCACCACGTTTACAACATTTAGGGTCAGAATAAATAAAGAAGCAAAGAATTTAAAGACTCATGACTTTCTACTCCAGACTCCAGAGGGTGGAGAATGAAGGATGGTATCCCCACAGGGCCCTAGGACACCTGTGCCTAACACCCCCATCCCAAAAGTCCCTTTACTTATTGTCTATTCTTTTTGTCCTCTGGGAGGTGGAGCATCAAGGTACAGACCATAATACAGAGGGATCTCACAGACTGGCTCTTCATAGTTCTGTGATGAGAGAAGGAATTCTTCAACAAATGGATGGATAAGTGAATGAAACAGCCCCATGGGAGTCTTTTTTTTTTTTTTTTTTTTTTTTTGGTTTTTCAAGACAGGGTTTCTCTGTATTGTTTTGGAGGCTGTCCTGGAACTAGCTCTTGTAGACCAGACTGGCCTCGAACTCACAGAGATCCACTTGCCTCTGCCTCCCGAGTGCTGGGATTAAAGGTATGCACCACCAACGCCTGGCTTCCATGGGATTCTTAACCCACAAACGTGTGTTGTGTGCATGTGCACGTGTGTGCGTGTGTGAGTGTGAGTGTGAGTGTGAGTGTGTGTGTGTGTGTGTGTACACAAGCAGTCCTTGATTTAAGATGGTCACTTTTTTTCTTCCTTAGAGAGGGTCTCACCATATGTCCCAGGCTGTCCTGGAGTTTATGGTCCTCTGGCCTAAACCTCCCATGAGCTAGGATCACATATCAGCACACCATGGGGGAGTCTAACCTGATAACCCAGCTTCATGAGGGACTTCGAAGGGTACCACAATCACTTTTGGTTAATCGTGTTCTACACTGACCATGGTTTATCAGAGCATGGACTCATCTGTGTGTGTCTACGTATGTGTGCAGTTCAAACTATCTTGATGACAAACTGCCTCAAACTCCAATCCCATGGAAACCATTTGATGAGCTGAAGGGCTCAGGTCAGGAAGTCAGACAGGAACTAGAAGGGGTGGCTGATTTCGGCCTCAAGCCAAGGCTGACTCCTCATCGGGGGCTACATCTTCACCCACATGTCTGGTGGCTTGGCCGAAGCCTCAGCTGGGCTGTGAGCCCAAACACCTACCCCTGGCCTCTGTATGTGGCCTCTCCACGTTGCCTAGTTTGTATTGCTTCAAACCAGCTGGTAGCTAGGATCCTAGAGAAAGCTTCCCACAAACCTAAGTGCAAGCACACAGAATTTTGTGATTGTGCCTGGGAGATCCCAGAGCAGCACCCAGCACCGCACTGTGTACCTCAAGGCAGCCACACAGGTTGCCAGGTTCAGGGCCTGGGGGAGTGGGCAAGCTTAGGACGTGGACAGCCTTGTGTCCATCCCTCCGCTGGAGAGACGGCCCAGTGGTTAAGAGCACTTGCTGCTCTTGTAGAGGACCCAGGTTCAGTTCCCAGCATGCAGCTCCCAACCGTAACTCCAGTTCCAGGGGGTCCAGCGTCCTCTTCTGGCCTCCATGGACACTGCATGCGTGTGGTGCGCATACAGACTGCAGGCACATCCACATGAACAGGAAATTAAAATAAAAAACGTTTAATTGTGTCATTCATACAAAAATAGTATTTATAACATTTGAAGTGTTAAAACTGGTCAACTGTGCCTCCCTGATGCTCAACCAAAGGCAACCACTTTTACCTGTTAATGTTTTTGCTTTATTTATAATTGTGCCAACCCACAGTTATTTGTAAATAATATAGGCTGTTTTTAAACCTCATAAAAATAGCTTCAAAAAAGTTATCCATGATGATTTAGATCTGTAATTTCAGCCCTTGAGAGGTTGGAGCAGGAAGATGATAAGTTTGAGCCTAACCTGGGATATATAGCAAGACTCTGTCATTAAAAAAAAAAAAAAGACACACAGAGTATTCTTTTGTGACCTCATTCATTTACTCTTGTATCAGGCAGGGTAGGCTTGGCTATGCTATGGTAACAAACATCCTTGAAATTTCAATGGCTCACAACTACAGTTATCTACCACTCACAGAATGTCCGTGCTGTGAGTCAGCTGTAAGTCCACTCTGGAATCCAGGCTCAGGAACAGCTCTGACATGAAACATTGCTAACCACCAGACAGAAGGAAAAGATGGTGGGTTACATCTTGGCTCTTCAAACTCCTGTTCAGAAGTGACATGTGTCAGCTCCATTGTTAGTCAAGCAAGTCACATGACCAAGTCTAAGGTCAGCAGAGCGCAAATGTAATCCTCAAGTAGAGGTATGCACGAAGAGGGTGACCCTACATCAGTAAGGAGTGTTTGAGGTAATAATTAAACTACTATGCTTCCCTTGGTCACAACCATTGGCTTCTTTGAAGCAACTTATCTGGACATTCCTCCTTGGTCACACATGTTTGCTTCTGTGTTGCAGAACAGCTCACTTTCTCACAGGAGAGATCTGGCATTCCCTGCCCAATCGGAGAAACCGACTCCAAGTCCAGAGTTTCGTGGCAGGTACAAAGGGCGGAGGTGTGGTTCCTCTGACTGGAGAGCTGGAACTAAGAGGACAAGTTATTGTTCAGGAACAAGGATGGGAAACGGCAAGGACCACCTCATTTAGAAAGAATGGGGGACAGGGCACTGGCCACTGAAATCTTGAAATGTTATAGGACTGACATCACAAAGTGCCTCTTTTAAAAAATGTAGTGTGAGCCGGGCGTTGGTGGCGCACGCCTTTAATCCCAGCACTCGGGAGGCAGGGGCAGGCGGACCACTGTGAGTTCGAGACCAGCCTGGTCTACCAAGCGAGTTCCAGGACAGCCTCCAAAGCCACAGGGAAACCCTGTCTCGAAAAAACCAAAAAAAAAAAAAAATGTAGTGTGTGTGTGTGTGTGTAGAGATCAAAGGCCAGCTTGAGTCTCTCCTTCCAGCATGCCGGTTCTAGGGATCCAACTCAGGTCATCAGACTTGGCAACAAGTGCCTTTATCAATGGGGCCATCTCACCAGCACACATGGAGCCTCTTGTCCTGTCCTGGGAGTGGGACCCTCTCTTGATCAGGTTTTAGTTTTGCTCCTGGTGGAGAGGGAGTCCCTCCACCTTTGGCTGAAACGACTTAAATGCCAAGTCCTCTTGGCTCTGCCATTCACAAGGTCCACATATATCGTCCTAAAAAGAACATATGCACTCCTGGGACTGTCAAGTTTTCCTACTTGCTTTCTATAATAGATTCTACTACTATTCAAAATATCTATTGCCCCTCCCTATGAGTCTTTTACCACCACAGGATTGATTATAAACAAGTGCTTGACCATTGATGTCAAGTTGGTCACACGATCTATCTATCATCTGTCTGTCTGTCTGTCTGTCTGTCTGTCTGTCTATCTATCTATCCATAGTCAATGAAATGTGAGCACAAGTATGATGGCACTGGTGCAAGGCAGGATGTCTCACCCTTTAAGGCAAGTATGAAACACCTAGGCTCTTGCCAACACCCTTTCTGATTCATCAGCTCTGGGGCGGGGCCACAGGATCTGCATTTCTAGCATGCTGAAGTAGATGCTGTAGATTTGTGGATCACACTAAGTAGTAAGACTGGGTATTGGTGCTCAAACTCGGCTCATCTGGAGTGCTTGTTAAACCAGACTTACGGATGTATCTCAGGGTTTATGATTTAGCAGGCCCCTAAAAGATCCAATGTTGAGAAACACAGTGGGAATTAGCAGGTGTCTGTTTAACTCCATCGTAGCATGGTGCTGAATCTGACAAATTCCGTATTCCCTATGTTAGACTTGGGGAACTTAAGCCAATCTGGTGCCTGTGTTCTGGCCCAGTTCCAGTTAAATCAGAAAAGCCGGGAGGGGCCCCAGAGTTGTTATTTCAGTAATGTTAGCTAAAATGTTGGAGCCAAGTGGGAACCACAGAGTCACTCTGAGCCTCTCCTCTGCAAATGGCCAGAGGATTTCAAATAGAAATACAAAGGACCAGCATGAGGCAAACCCTCAGACCTGTGGTCTATTCTCTACACTTCTGTGTCATCAACTGGTTCTTTTTGTTTGTTTGTTTGCTTGTCTGTTTGTTTTAATTTCCACAAATAAGCACGGACATTAAAAACAAAACTATAATCAACAACAGCAAATAGCCATCCAGATTGTCCCTGGGCCTGTACAAGGCTCGCCTACAGCCACCATGCAAAGAGCCCCTTAGCCTGCCATTTTGCTCCTGGGCCACTGTCTACTCTCACTGGAACCATACATCTATTTCCTGCTGGTACTTCTCTGTATTTGGAAACACTTAGGTGTAGCTCAGTGGCAGAACACATGCCCTGTGAGCATGAGGCCCTCGCCGGATAAAACACAGAAGAAATGAAAAGGGACAAACCAGATAAGCGCTCAGTCTTGCTGTCAGCCTGTATCCTGCCTCTGCTCACTGATACATTTCCCGAACAGATGAACTAAAACTGTGCCGATTTCTGAGCTTTCCTCAACACAAAAGCCTTGCTCTTCTCATCCCTCACCCTAAACTATTACAAAGACCACGAAGAATGGAGAAAGGTGTTTGGCCAAAGTCATTTTCTCAGCAATTACTCTCTTCCGATTCAAGTAAATAAACATGGTTTATTGCCTCCCATCAGCGAGGTACAAAGATGAGTAATTTACCATCCTTGACCCCAAAGGGTAGGGCCCGGGAGCAGATGTTACATAAATGAGTCAATACTACCGGCCAGATAGGAACTATGATGTAAGGTCTGAATTGTGTAGGTGTGTGCCCTTGACACTCTGCCTCAGCACAGGGCCTCACAAATAAATGGCTTTAACTGAACAGATGAGTGGAATATTGAGTACTGAATAAGTGAACTCCACAGTAAGGTGAGGACGTCACCCAGATGGAGGGATTCTGTAGCAGCATACGGAAGGATGAGTAGTTTTCCAGGTGGAGAAGTGTGTGTGGGTATGCCAGGTGGGGAGGGGTGTCTGGCAGTCAGTTTGCTCCAGGAGCCTGTCTTTGCTTCCTGAACACTAGGGTTACAGGCTGGCCACCACACCCAGTGCCACTCGCAGGAGTGCTGGGGATCCAAACTCAAGTCCTCACACTTGGGTCGCAAGCCTTTTTTACCCCAAGCCGTCTCATCAGCCCCCAGAATTCATTTAAAAAACTTAGTCACAGCAGCAACGTGGAGCACTAAAAAATGACAAACCCTTTGGGAAAGCAGAGAGAACTGAAGGCTAAAGACAGAACCCAGGGCAGAAGGAGGAGGTCCTCACGTAGACACAAAGGGGGAGCTGCATGAAAAAGCAGGGGTCATTCCCAAGCCGGAGGGGCCTGGCAGCCAGAAGTCAGGTACAGAGGGGCAGCGATCCAACCGCTGAATGTGCCAGAAGTGGGGGTCAGGGTGGCATCTGCCACACCAGTCCAGTGGAGACAGAGATGGAGCTAGAGTCACAGGTACCTGGAGGTCCCATCTCCCCTTACATTCCCTTCTTACTCGGGTGTGTTTATGTGTTTACAGTCTTCCCTCTCAGAGGAAATGCAAATATAAAGACAAGTCAAATGCAAATGTAAAGACCAGCCAAATGTGTAGAGATCCCAGCACTTAGGCGGCAGAGATAGACCCAACTCTGTGAGTTCAAGGTCACCCTGGGCTATACAATGAGATCTTTTCTCAAAAAAAAAAAAAAAGTGAAGTCACAAGAATCTATTCGTTTGTTGACACTGGATGTTAAGTCAGCTTTTTTTCTTCCTTTCTTTCTCCTTCCTCCACAAAATCTTATTCAACAAAACATTCAATGTACATGTAGGTACTATTACACCAAACCCCAGGTAACCAACGCACACTGTTAACAATGTCAAACCATAGCCAAACACTGTCAACAATGTCCAGCCCATAGCCGCACACTGTCAACAATGTCCAACCCATAGCCAATCTTGTTTCATCTCTATGCGCATAGCTTCATGATTTTGAAGCAAATACTAAATTTTGATTCATTTCATCCATATTTACATCAGTATGTGCCTCTAAAAAACATAAGGACTTAAAAATTGCTACAATTAAATAGCCTAAAATCAAAATGCCTTGGTGCCAACCAAAATGCAGTGGTCTCACTTCCCAGTTGTTTAGACATTGCACTGGAATAGTTTGCTTTTGTGCGGTGCTAGGACCAAATCCAGGCCCCTGTACACTAGTCAATGCCATTAAGCAGCGAACCTCTGACTCCATTCTTCCAGGTTCAAGGTAACCTGATGGTGTTTCTCTAAAACTGGTCTATTCTCGTGACTTCTGCTTTCTTGTACATGGACAAATTTGCAAAGTATTATATTAATATATTATGTATTATAATAACAGTTAATTGTTAATCTTCTCATCTACAAAATTTGTTCTCCTACTGACCAAACCTGCCTTTCTAGTCAGGACCTAATATTTGCTCTTTCACCCCCCTCTTTTTGGCCCTGAAATTTATTATGTAGATCAGGCTAGCCTTGAACTTGCCTAGATTTTCCTGCCTTCTGCAAAATTACAGGTGTGTAACCCTAGAAATAGGCCCCTTCTCCTTTGAATATGCATGTTACCATAATCTCAACAGCCCAGGATCAGTGTGGCCTTTCTCTCTCTTCCTGGCAATTACTTTCAAACAGCTTGGGATCATCTCTGACCCTTCCTTTTCCCTTGAATCCCAGTTTTAATTTGTGAGGGAGTTCTGATGAATATCTATCTGTACTCACATCACTGTGTGTGTGTGTGTGTGTGTGTGTGTGTGTGTGTGTGTGTGTGTGTGTGCGTTTCTGGGGATGGAACCCAGAGCCTTTTGCATACCAGGCCAGCACTCTGCCACTGGTATACTCGTGGGGGGCGCCCCCCAGGCTACCATATCACTCCTTTTTATTTCTTGTCCATTTTACTCCCATTGTCTTACTCAATCCCTTGTCACTTCCCATCCAAACTAATGCCACAGTCCACCACGTCTTCTACCTGGCTCCAGGCTGCCCATTCACCCAAGGGTGCTTACTGCCTCTGGGGTGACCTGGCTAAAACACAGCCGTGCTTCCAGGCTGGGCAGTGGGATGTATGGCTTCCGGAATGAACGGTGGCTCTCAAATGCTCCATGACCTCCCTCCCAAGTGAAACACCCACAGCAGGTGGCAATTGCTTAAACCTCAAACCACAATCACTTAAAAGTCTCTGCAAACTGTCCTAAGGACATTCTAGAAAATCTGCTAAGTCCCAGAAAGAACATGGAGAGTCAGTGTCACCGAGCCACAAATCTCTTCTCCTTCCCACTCCAGTCCTGGGAGGGAGGCGGCAGAACAAGAACACAATGAGATTTTCTCCAGCTCACTGCCAGTAGTGGGCTTCTGATGACCCTGGGAGGGGCAGGCTGCCTTCCAGCTCCGTGTGGCAGACGACGTAGGCTGAGTGGTCTGAGGCTCATTTCCTACCCCCACCACCATGCACAGGCAGAAGTTCTAGTTCAGCTATGGATGGCTGAAGACTAGCTGGTACTTTTAGTCACCCAGGCCCCAGCTTGCTCATGGGGCAGAGACTCTGTTTGGAATGGGGCAAGCCAAGAAAACCAAAGGTTACTTACCCTGCCCACTTAAGCAAGACTGAGGCATGGGGAGTGCCACTGTCCCTGCCCAAGTTCCCCCAGCTCTAGAGCAGCCTACATGTTTTGCTGAAGAAAAGCAGGCCATGAAACAGAGCAGCCTGGAGCTTTCACCAAGTAAGACAATTTGGGGCCATTAACTGGGGATGCTCCAAGAAATGATACAGATTGTGTTAGGAGGGAATTAGGAGGAGCTAGGCACTCCTCCATTAGAACAAGCTAGAGTAGGGGAGAGAGCTTAGAGGCACAGCACTTGCCTAGTGTACCACATACTCAGACTCCAACTGCAGACCAGTCACAAGTGCATCAAAGAGAATCATGGGAGGCATCAGTCAACTCCCCATCCCCCCACTTCCTGGAGCTGGACTATATGCCTCAAAATTGACCTGAAAGATTGTATCTGCAAAAGGGGCCAAAGTTGATTGGGCAAGACTGGAGCATTTTCTACACCAGGGCAGAATCAAAACAAACAGAACAGTCAGCTACAGAGAAGGTGAATAGCCCATAGCATTTCACTGGCTAACAGTTTAATGGAAAGATCAGGTAGAGGGGCTGGAGGGATGGCTC